TTTTACCGCGGAAGCAAACGCAATAATGCAGTGCCGCGGTGCAAATAGTAATCATTCGATCGGCTCCAAAACGGATTAGTACTGTCGCACCGATCGATACTGTAACAAAGCAACGCATTATTGTATTCGTATTACATAACTGTTGATTGTTGCTCGTCGGCCGAGTGCTGCTGTGCGCATATAGAAAGTTTGACGCGATCGCGTGTTTTCTTGAAAGTGAAATTCATGCGCACAGTCGTATAAGTATTTTCCCGATTTCCCGTTCGCCCGCTTCTACGTTGTATACACCTCGGGTACAGTGGTTTTTCTGGACCTTTTTATAATTGAGGGGGGGGGGAGAGATGAACTTCGTGCGTATATTATTCTTATATATTTATTTCCTAAGTGCGATGTAAATAATAAATAACAAAAATTTGAAGAAAAAAAAGGCGACTGCCCCATTCCCCTTCTGGGGACGCTCCTACTCGGGTACCGATACAGTCGCAATCCATCCATGACCGTACTCAACACGAGCAAAATATTATTTCGCAGCACGCGTGTCACATACAGATCACACATATACGCTTTTGAAGTACGGTCGAGTCGGATTTACAGTGCGATTCGTATACAGCAATTCACGGACGAATTAATGCAACGCGAACGTGTGAAAGCAAAACAAATGAGTTGAAATTTACATTATTTTACGAGCCGTAGAAATGTGTTTCGGACGCATCAGTTGCCTTTTTTTTTTTTTTTTTTCTGTCTGTACAAAACTATATTACAGATATTAATTACGACTAATCAAAGGTTCTGTATACATATTTTTTTTTTTATTTTTTTTTTTTACTTCAAACGGTTCGGCTCTGTAGTTATTAAACACCGTGTTTTCATTACGTTTTTTCCTCCTGTTTCAAGTTTCCATTATAATTTATTTGTACGTTCTGGTTGATTGCTATTTGTTTTCAATTATTATTATCTCAATTTTCAACATGAATAATTAAATATTTCACTAGTTATCAACTATCTGAACTGTTCAATAACAACGATATTGAAATTGTGACATGGCAATTGGGATGTTAAAAATGCTTTCGTTTGACAACCGTTAGATCCATATTTCACAATACGTCGAAAAATAACCACTCATCAACTGTACCAATAATCTAAATTCGATATCGATCGCTTTTCGTAATGTAACATCGAAGAAATTCAGCTAACCATCGCGACCGGACGAAAAGTCGATAAATATCGGTATTATTCGCAAACTCTACAGTTTTGTTTGTTTTTATTATTTAATAATATTTTAAATATGAAAAAAAAATACATACGATCGAAGCCGAGTTACTCAGTTAGTATATATGCATATTTATATTTATATTATGTACAGAATAGTTTCTAAAAAAATTCAATCGAAGCGAGACTGCGGATAATTTATGAATAGTAAAAGTTATCATCGACAACCACAAGAATGTCGCGATGTATTTTTATTTCATCTACTTCTAAAATATGTGGTCGATTCGAAGTCGAGTGATCTGTTGAACTAAACGTGTCAATACCGTATGCACGTGCACATCCCTTGATAGCTCTGCGAAGACCGGGGTCGGACTGATCCGGACCGGAACTTCGCGATCGCGAGCTAGGTTTCCGGCTAGTTTGGGCGCTAATGTTCATATTTTAAAATTAAAAAAGATTACTATTTCCCCTGTGGAAGGAGATTAAAATACTTCTATGGTTCTTCGGTTGGTCGTAGGAGGCGACTAAATGAGGTTGTTCAGGTTGATAGCCGGTGTAAGATTTTGTCAAATAGTATGAGGAGTTTATATATATTATTTAAAGTGTACCTATATGAAAAATAAAAAAAATGTCTGTAATTTTTATTATTATAATATGTTTTTGTTTTTTTTTTTAATTATTTTTAATTGTTATCTTAATAAAATACAAAAATGAAGAAGTAAAGAGTAGAACCAACCAATTTTAGTATGACCAGACCTTTTGACCAGACTGAGATTTTTGACGTTAGTCCGATCTTGACGTAGACGATATAAAAACTTTTCGACATTATAGCACAAATGTAATAAAATTAAGAGTCGAATTATGTGTAATTGGATTTGATACATTGTTTTTGTTATCGTGTGAACAAACTTCTATAAACGTTAGTGCCACGATGAACAACGTTGAAAACGGTTTAATTAATTTCGTGTGTTCAAGTATTCTATAACAGAAATATCTATGACTCACTTTTAATCTCGACGTAATATTATTATAGTTTATTTTATTTTATTTAATCTTATTAAATCTTAAATTAATCGATATTCACCCTCATCCCTCACCATTACTAACCAGGATTCGTCAATAAGTATATTTATTGCTATACACGACACATGCAATGGACATTTTACACCATATAGATTAATTTCCGTCTGACGCACCAACAGAGTGTCGACGTTGAAGAAGGCTTCACTGACTCTTTGTAACAATAATAATAATAATATAATATAGTGTTTACAAAATCATAGGCGTATGTAGTTATGGTATCTTAGAGGGAGACCTTAGATCTCCCCAAAAAAATAATGTGACAACATTGTACTACAACTGTCAATATTTATTTTTATTATCTATTATTTAGTCCTAAATATATTTTATCGCACTTGCCCCCAGTGGCCTCACTGAGCCCGCTAATGTGTGCGAGTATCACGTCCTCTCGAATTCAACTTATCGGTTTTCTGTTAAATTATTTTATACAAGTATTTTAAATGTTAAATTTCTTCAAAATTAAATATTTTTAACCATGATAATATTCTCGTACGTATACTTCAATATTATTTCAATTCATGTTCTGACAATGAAAAGGTTTTGTATTGAACGATGATAAAAAACTTGATCCGAAGTAAAATCAGGAAATATAGCCATTAGCATTTGTGTACGATGATAAAAAATAGTACATATTAATACTTTCTCAAGGGCATTGCTAGAAATGTCATCAAGTGGAGGCAACCAATTAACAAAACGTATTTAGTGTTATTTATTAAGAGTATTTTTAAATTTTTACGCATGTCAAATTTGTGTATCTTAATTAATGGTCTTCAATTATAACTTACAAGGTAAATACAAAAAAAAAACAATACATTGAAAATATTCATGTAAAATTGTATTGTTAAAAATGCAATTAAATTAAAATTACTATTTGATAAAAAAAAAAAAAAAACTGTGTCATTACGTTGTAAATAATAATTTGAATACGTGGAATATAATTTAAAGAAATATAAAAAAAAAATGACTGAAAAATAAAAAAGTGAAAAATTATGAGCAGCTATCTGTGCTACATTACCTTTTGAGGGTGTTATTAAAATAAATAAATATTCAAAATATTTCATCGAGTTAAATTCTAGAGTAAAAATAACATATGATGTTGCGTAAAATAATTTAAATCGGTATCAATTTCCAAATACTTGACGGCCCTACGTATTGTATATTATTATATTTCTATTGAAATACTAAGTGAAAAATTTATTTTCGGTACACTACGGCTGCGTCGAGGGGTTTAAAAATATAAACGAAAATACATAGTTGTACAGTGCGAACTCGCGACAATATAACGTGTTTTTGATTGAAATCGTACGCATCGAGCGGCCAACGACGTTATGTGACATTAGCGTATTTAAACAATGCATCAACCGATGCATTGTTTAAATACCGAAAATATAAATATAAATATGCCGGGAATATTTGTAAACCAGGAACTCAGGAGGAAAAGGGTTCTACCTCTTCATCTCAATACGGTCGTCCGAAGTTTAGGGAAAACTTGGAGTATAATAGTAAATAGTGTTATTGCTATTCGCCGGAGTCTTCGCTCTTCCGGTCGACCCCTGTAATTTCAGTATTGAAATGACAACAAGCTGCGTTTTCAATTGCGTATACATTTTATAACCCGCCGCGTATAGCCGGAAGGCATATTAGCATTCTGGGGTCGGTCTCGGCACCGGTTATCATTTTAGCTTTCTGATTGGTCGTATGGTTTGGCCGCGCTTTTTGAAAACTGTTACCTATAACCTTGTTATCTAGTATTATGTGTTATTTAATATTATCGAATTTCAATGCCTATTTATTATTTATGATACTATTATAAAATATAAATATAAATAATCTTTAAAAGGGTTTTTACTTTTGAATTTTTTTAGGTAGCTTTTTAAATAAAATATTATAAGTCAAAAAGCATCTTAAAATGTTTAAATTAATGGAATTTGATAATAATTCATTTCATTCTAATATGTTTTCCGAACAAGATATTTGTAACTGGATTAGTATTCATGGTAAAAATACTATTACAAGCTGGTGTGTGAAAAACATATTAGAATGAAATGAACTATCATTAAATTCCATTAATTTAAACATTTTAAGAAACTTTTCGACTTATAATATTTTTACTTAAAAAGCTACCTACAAAAAGTAAAAACCCTTTTAAAGATTAATTGTATTCACACATTATAAAAAAAAAAAAATAAATAGTAAATATGCATTGCAATGTGATAATATCAAATAACACATAAAACCAGACAACAGTTTTTAAAAAGCGTGGCAAAATCAAACGACCAATGAGAAAGCTAAAATGATAACCGGTGCCGAGACCGACCCCAGAATGCTAATATGCAGCCGGCAGCTGAAAATAGTCAAACACAGTTGTTACCGCCGTTTTGGCCATATAATACTCAATTTCAAGCGCAAATGTATTTCGATAGCATTGGCCGCGCGTGGTGTTTATGATTCGTCGCTGCGCACGTTTGTGTTCGGACGGACGAGATAATGGCACGACAAGAACACCGCGATGCAATACGCGTTTGTAATAATCTTCCCTAGGAGATCCGGTGCGAGTGGATGCCCGGACGAAACGTTATTTTGATTTCAATAATGCTCTGACGGTCGATTAGATTACAAAAAAAAAAATAAAAGGAATAATGTAATTGTAATCGTCGATTGTATCCCGCGGCGGAGGACGGTATTGAGAACGAAACCATTTTTTTGCGCAGGTGTTCGATCGCATCCGGTCGGAAGTGGATTCGGAAAAAACGTTCGCCAAAGTGGTGTGCATCAGTGGCGATGTGTCCGATCCCGATCTGGGCTTGAGCGCCGAAGACCGGCGGAAGCTTAGCTCCGAGGTGACGATCGTCTTCCATTCGGCGGCCACCGTCAAGTTCAACGAGACCCTGCGCACCGCCGTCACGCTCAACACGTTGGGCACGCAGCGTGTAGTCGACCTTTGTCGTACGATGAAAAATCTGAAGGTAAGCCTCGGTCGAGAAATTGCGCGAAATTTATTGCATACAATGTATATGTGTATATAATACTTCTATAAATATAAAAATGGAATTTTCGCCACGTACGTTCTCTGAAACTACTCATTAATTATCTCGATTTTCTTTCTTTTTTTTTTTTTCTAATAAAAAAATACACCGTGGAACAGGTTTTAGGCTTGATTTCAATTTTATACGTTAATTCAGTAATTATTTATTTTCTATAAGCAAATATAAAATTGTCAGTGGATAATTCTTCAGGCATGCTAAGCATGCGCCGCATGATTAGGAATAAAAACGTTATTAATCAAAATACAAAAATTGTTTTGTAATCAATAATATATTACGTATTTTAAGAGAACATAACGTATTACAATTTAATTCTATTATAATTTGTGAAATTTAATGATAGACCATACGATAAATGAGTGCGCAAGTTATACGACGCTTGTTACCGCTTTAAAATAACATTTGTTCCGAGACCACCTCTACTAGCAGCTGCGGTATTCATTACTCAGGGCATGTTCATTCTGTTGCGCTTCATCAATGTCCTAATTTGTCAAATTTACGCGTACTAGTATATGTCAATTTTTCTTCGTTTTGTTTTATTGTTCCAATTTTTAATATTGTTTAGTTAGTTAAATATTATTTAAGTAAGTGATATTGCATGTATATTAAATTAAAATATTATTAATAAATTAATACAAACTTGTGTATAAATCGAATATAACTATAAAATATTATAATGAATGAGCATGCCCATATATCAGAGTCGACATTCGCCACTGATAATTGTATATGTGTGTACATTTCAGTGTTTCTCTAACCTTTTTGCTGTCGCAGATTGGTAAATTACTTATTAAGTATGACTATGAGCCTTTTAGAGTTTTAGCTCAAAAAATTAAAAACTTTTCGATAGTCACGGGTTAGCTTGTTTGTAATATATATATATAAAAAAAAATCCATTACCAGTATGCCAATATTATCTTACAAAGTAAATATTAAATATAAAATAAATATAATTAGTTAAGTAAAAAATAATGAGAGCGTTGTTCTTTCCAATGGCGTAGTCGGAAACATATTCCCCCCCCCCCCCCCAAATATACAATTTTTTTGGTTCAGTTTCTCCTAATTAAGTACCAATTTTTTAATTTTAATAAATCCATTCAACACAAGTTAAAATAAACGTTAATATAATAAATATTTATTATTATTTATTAAATGAATAAATTGAAGAGGTCAAATATTGTTTAATTGCACACTTCAGTTGTTGCTAGAAAAGTCCATTTAAGTAGTTTACAACATGCTAATGTGATAATTTGCATCACTCCCATCCCTATAGTTCATGCACGGTAGCGTCAATCATTACGTTGTGATGTTCAAAAATTTGATTCCTGCACCTATGGTCGTTTTAGGAAATTGTCTTTTTTGTTACGCGCTCCAAAAGCTCAAGCTTCAGTTATAAGATGAAAATATCATTAAAATGAAAACTAATCGACCAAAAATTCTTCGGTAGAAACCGTTTTCTTTATAACTATACAATTTTTTGAACGTTGTTCATGTTTTCGATTACGATTATAACGTGTGCCTTGCAATAAATCATATGAATACACATTGGACAAACGTTTGACATAAAATTAAGCAGTCATAGGCATAGGCGGTACTAGACCTTCTTGGCAAGGGGGGGGGGGCAGGAAATACTTAAGTAAAATATTAACACTATTTCGTCTAAATCTTTAGACTAGCAATACTATAAAAAAAAGTATTTTATTGATAACTATTTTAACATATTTCAAATAAGATTATTTTATAAAATGAATAATACACTTACAAATACCTACATTTATATTATTTTATCTTATAAAATTTTAAAATAATAACTTACCACAATTTACCTGTGATGGTTCTCATAGGCGGACCCATAGTGATACATTTGAGTGTGCCCTGTCATTTTTTCAAAATGTAAAGGATGTGTAGACCGTGTTATGATTTAAATTCTAAAAATAAAGACTTCGTTAATAAAGTAAAATAACGATTGATAAAATATACATGTAATTATTATTTCAGACTTATTCTGAACACTTGCAATATTACTTACAAAAACTAAAATTTAATTAATGTGTACGCACATATATTCGCAATTGTAATTATTAAATTTTTTTATTCGCATTATTCACATTAGGATGTGCCAAGGCACACCCAGGACACCCCGTAGAGCCGCCTATGATGGTTGTTGAATGAAAAAGTCATATAAAGTTTTTATTTTTTTACTTTGGTTTGTGTTCATAATTTTTATTATAATTAGTATTATCCAAAAAACTCAAGAATACTAAATAAAATACACACTTCAAATCAAAGTATAAAATCATGCAAAACATTTGTGATACAGATAATAATAAAGTAATAATATTGGTTCATGATTTGTAAATGATAAAAATAAATTATAATAATATTGAAAATGTTGACGCAAAAAATCTTACCAGCATATTTACATGAATGGTTCCCACGGTTGTAGATAATAATATTATTACTTACAACCATACAGACTCTAAATAAGCATGTAAAATGAGGGGTTACCAACCAATATTTGAAATGTATAGGGAGAGTAAGAACTCGCAGGGGGGGCAGCCACCTACCTCACCCCTCCCGTAGTACCACCTCATATCATTTTATTTGGACAAGCAAAGGCAAGTTTATCTTTTTATGGTTATAGGCACTAAACATTTTCCATTTTAATTATTAAATATAATAGAGAACCTTAATATTCTAATAATAATTATTACTATTACTACTTATTACCAATTACTAGTGATTTTACTATCTAGTATTTTCGATATTTTAATATTTAAATTAATTAAATAGGTAATTAAAAACTTTATAAAATCTGATTTTCTTTGTACTTATCTAGAGCACATAGGTTGTTGACTTTAAAAATACACAAAAGCACAAAAGCTTAGCACCACTATCTCTTAAACACTCTTAAATAATTTACGTAGCACGGCACGTTTGATATTTTAAAGTATAATAGGTTTTTTGATTTTTTGGAGTGTCATCTACTCAATATAAAGGACTTTTATATTAGTATAAAGACTGGGAAATACTGATCTAAGATGTGTTCATCAACACTGTTAGAATAAGTTTTGGGATATTCACTTGCGGGACGCGCACCACCGTCTGGGATTTTTTTAATCCCGTCAACTCGCCCATCATTCCTTTGGTCGCTCGTTTCGAAAACCGCATAATTATCGATATTGTTCTCCCACTCCCCCGCACAGGCCATGATCCACGTGTCGACGGCGTACTCAAACGCGGACAAGATGACGATCCAGGAGAGCGTGTACAAGCCGCCCAACGATCCTGCGTTCGTGATCAACTGCTGCCAGAAGATGTCGGAGGACGATCTGCGCGACTTGGGCCGCCGTATGCAGGGCAATCACCCGAACACGTACACCATGACTAAAGCCATGGCCGAGTGGGTGGTCGCGGAACAAGTGGACGACATACCCGCGGCCATCGTCAGGCCCAGTATAGGTAAATATGCGATCTGATTTTGTATTAATTGCTGGACAAGCACATTTTTCGGGAAATAAGCCATAACCAACACAGATCGATACCAAAAATAATAAAAAATATCGAAAAAACATCCGGGCAATGAAATATTCATAACGTGATACTCTTTCAGATGATAGTATAAAAATGCGCTTTGACGAACGACCAATAGTATGTGTAGTTACCTATATTTAATTGCAATATCGATCAAACCCATAGTTCATATAATATTGGAGATTAGCATACTACGAAAAACATAATCGGCACTGGCTGATCCACCGAGAACTTAATATTATATTATGTGTGTTAATTATCATTTTTAAATTTTCTCCTATTATTTCACGTATATTTCCAACGTCAAACTTATATATTCCCGATTAATTATTATCAGTAATCAAAATACATGTCGTGTTTAAAGTGACCGCTGCTTGGAGAGAACCGTTCGAAGGATGGGTGGACAATGTGAGTGGCATCACGGGCATCATGATGGAAATCGGACGAGGAACGATCAGAAGCATAGTTTGCGATCAGAAGCTCCGGGTGGACATCGTACCGGTGGACATCTTGGTGAACACATTGATAACATCGGCCTGGCACACGGCTACGTACAGGTGAGGAAAAATCATACGTCAAAAACAAGGCGTTGATTTTCATTATCTAAATCAATAGACAAAATTATCAAATTGATTTCGGTACACATTTTCTAGAATGTCAAATTTAATGGAAAATCTGTATTTTAAACATTTAAATTTTAAGTTAAATGTAATAGTTATAAGTGTTTTACATTAATTTTTCAATTTTTTTCAAGATGTAAATAATTTTAACCATAATGCATGTACGAACTTTATGAGTAAATTAAAGAAGAAAAAGGTTTCTAAAACTTTTGTATTCTAAAAAATCGATTATATTATAAAAATTCAAGATGAGCAATTTTTAAATTTAGATATATATATATATATACCAAATATGATGAGCACTTATAGTTGTATGATTAAAATACAAAAAAGAAAAATTATATTTTATTATTTAGAACTCGATTGACGATTTCAGATTTTAAATAATTTAGTAATACAACTTTAGAAGAAAAAAAAAACGTCGAGCTTAATTACTCTAAATGATTGATCATACAACACGGAAACAGGAAAAAATCTTTTTATGTAAGAAAAAATTTATCAACGATGGTAAACACCGTAAGAACTCAAAATATTTGTTTTCTACGAGCACTTAAAAATAATTTTGTTGAGGAGATTTTCTTAGGCAGGTACTTACATTTCTGTAGATAATTAACGGAGTACACCAATCTGATTTGATAAAATGAATAATAAGCTTCAGTATTTCGGTATCGGCGTAGACGAAAACCATTTAATACTTGATATTTGACGTTCAAATACCGATTAATTATACGTCAAACATTATCTCTCACCGGAATCGATTGACAACGCGTTTTTCGCATTTCAGGCAAAACGCCGTGAGAGTGTACAATTGCACGTCGGGCGCGTTGAACCCGCTGCGCTGGGAAGAGCTGGGCAACCTGTGCCAATACCACTCGTTGACCGCCCCATCCAAATACTTGCAATGGTACCCGGGGTTCTCGTTCCGGACCAACCGCATGGTGCACAGGTTGTGCGAGATCCTGTTCCATTTCGTACCCGCTTTCGTGCTGGACATCGTCTTCCGGCTGACCGGCTCAAAACCCATGTACGTATTTCGTGTTTTAACGCAAAATCTATCATTAAAAAAAAAAAAAAAAAAAACAATAATAAACGAACAACAAATAAAACAGAATATTATATAATTCGCGAAAACATAATATCTACTTAAAATCTAACCGGACATCTCGACCTACAACCAATGGCAAATTTTTACATTTTTGCTGTGGGGTTTTCAATTTTTGCTAAAAAGTAAGTGATATTATAATATTATAAAAAATACGCATAAGGTACGAATTAATTATTATATTATTATTATAAATACAAACGAAGAGTTGTTTACAACCACATGTCACAAATCAATGTTCTTTTTCTCTATGGTACCTTTGTATCAATCATTAATGGCTTTTCAACGTTTTTTTTTCTTCTGGAGGAGGAGGTCGAGACCCGAGACCCGCCCCCTCCTGAAAATACTTGATATAAAAATAAACCTGAAGTGCCTCGCAAAGTAGCTAAGAAATGTTAATGTAATTTACTATTAATGCAAATTATTAGTGTAGGAAAGTACTTGAAAAATGCGTATAATTTTATCATTGATATTAAAATGTAATACATTTCAAGTGAATAGTGTAACTTTGATGCTAAAAAATACCAAAACACACAATTAGCTGTTATATAAAATCTATTACCAACACATTATTTTCTATGAACTAAAAATGAATAGTACATTTAATGCATTTGTATAAGTGCTCTCGGTTCAGTACGTGTATACGTAGTCCGTTCCTTAAATAATACAATGTTTTAACACTCATATACACGTGTATTTAGTTACATGTAGATATATGAAAAATGCATTCCCTCGTGTATTATAATTACCTATACGTGTCCATAAGGTCCAGAAGTTTTTATAAATATATATTTTTAAGAATTTATAATATCGTCGTGTAATTCTTATGTACCTATATTATATAACGTTAAATTTTTTCGAGTTTAGTATTGTATATTTTGTTATCGTCCAAAGATTGCCATTTATAGTTATAGGTGCACTCATTGTGACATGGCAATCAAAATCTAAGTTTATACATAAAGTTTTACCTAACGAATCGTCGGCCTTTGAGTAACTTTAACGAGTAATAAACCATAAATAATAAATCGCGATGATAACCACATTATCATAATAATTTAATATCGTAAATGCAGCGATAGGTAACAAAAATTGTGAAAAATCATTTTGAAAATGTAACTATAAAATTATACAGGCAATAATTGTTAACAGCAAATATAAAACATTAAAATAAATATATAATATTATTTAACTTTATTAAAATCTAAGCAAATAAAACAATACAATAGGTTAATCAAAATACCTTTTGTATCTCAATAAAAGAGTATTCTCAAAATGTCGATCAGCTAATGAATTTCTTCTTTTATTCAATAGTATTTAATAATATCAATCTTATTTTATTTTTAGAATTATTAAGTCAATGATAATATGTACTTATTTTTTTAATATAGATTTACGGCCACTTTTCATGACAATGGTAATGTAATTTATGGGTGGAATGGTTATTTTTACTCAATAGTCTTAAGACGGTTAACTACTTTTTTCATGACCGGTGGGACCCCTAATATTAGTTAATATCGTGATAAATATTATGCTTTTAATTAAGAATTCTTCAAAATATTTATTTTTATATTTTTTCTAAATTTCATAAACTTGTTATCAAATATGGTATTTTACAAAAATATTTTTTATTGTCTTGAATATTAAAATTAACTTAACTTGTATAAATAAAAATAACAATACGTTAATTTCAAGTTAATCCGTAAGGAAATGAGTTAAGTTAATAAGTTAAGTTAATTTACCAGTAATGAAATAAGTTAACTTAACTTAACTTTTAACTTATTAACTCATTAATGCCCAGGCTTGCATTCGAGTATACAACATTATTCTGTTATTTATAATATTAATAATATTAATGAAAAATGTAATTTGAAAATATTCAAAACTAATGTATAATTATTTTGGTTTTGTCATATTTTTTGAAAAAAGCGTTTTGTTTTTTTATATGACGGTGAAATTTAATTTTTGATCAAAATTTAATCAAAATGTTAATTAATTTAAGTTCAATATACAATTCTCATTATTATTTCATAATCATTTTTAAATATATTATATGCTAATATTCGTATAATTAATAATATTATAGTATTACGAGTAAGTATTGATTTCCCTTAAACGACATTACAAAGGATTACGTGCCCCTAGGCTGTCCGAAGAAAGTGCATGGAGTTTTAATGCACGGGCACCGGATAATGTACACGTATATTTTAATTACACAAACTTTAATACATTTCCATAAAAATTCGTATGTTCTTGTTCTTACATATACCTGTAATAGAGACCCCTAATTTGTATATTTGTACATATTTATTGTTATTTTTTTTTTTTCTTAAAATAGATATTTGTATATTGTTCATTTTATTTTTATATTTAAATTATTAAAATAAATATTTAAGTTTAATAAATAGTTAAATAGTTTTATATCAGTAAGGAAATTTGAAATATTTGATAAAATATTATAATTTTAATGGATTATTTACTATAAATTGTAAATATTTTTTTAATATATTGAGTTGGAGTATTAACTTAAGTATAAACATATATTCAACTTTTATACAATTTTCTTATTATAATATATTATATACCTAGATTAGATACTTTTTTCAAGTTAATAATAAAAATAATAATGATTTATTCATTGGTATAAATAAATAATATAAATTATTTATCGTTATAACTTAAGTAATGCTGAGATAATAATGTAACCAAGAATACAATTAAAGATATACCTAGTTAAGTAGTTGTAGAACATATAAAACAAAAATTATTTTAATATAAAACAGGGCTTGAAATCGAAATAAAAAATTTCGATTTTGGTTTCAAATATTGATATTTATTTTTTGCATTTCCGTTTTTGATTTCAAACATCGATATTCATTTTTTTTCAATTTCGGTTTCAGAAATCGGTATTTATTTTTTTTCGATTTCGGTTTCACAGCAGAATGTTATCCATGACTTATAATTTCTTAAATTTTAGTACATTATTAGCATAATAGCGTTGTAGGCTGTAGGGACAAGCTACTGATGTAGGTAATACCTATATATTTAAATCCATTTTATTATAACCTATGTTTAACATTTCGTACAAACTACAATTATTATTAAAGTGTCTCAAAAATGAAAAAACATAATAACGATGAAAGTGAAGCTAAAATGAAGTAAACTAGGGATACATCTATGTGAAATGATTAAAATGTAAAATAAAGTTTTTTATTCATAGATTCAAACATAATTTAACTAAATATGAGAACAATGTTTTAAATTATAAGTGGGACAAATATGACGACGCCTAGCAAAACTGCAAAATAAAACTATTTTAGGTTATTTGATTGTATATTATTGGTTAAAAGTATAACTCACGGGTGACAGCCAATGAAGTATTATAAATGAATATGTTATCCATAATAATACACTACAAAATATCTATGTATACTATATTATACGGACTAAATCGTGTGTATAAAAACAACAATCGCTCATCAAACGCTGATTCCTTATCATAAATATTCTAAGAAAACAAAATAAGTACCTACTAGTTATTTATTATTATGTATAATCAATATTATTAACAAATATGGCAATGTCTACGAATTGACAATATAAATGGAACCGTTGGCTGTTGAATTTTAAATTAATTTGATTTAAATCGTTTTAATTATTAAAATGATTTTGATATTGATATAAAATATCGATTTTAACTTTTTCAATTTCAATATAAATTTTGAAAATCATTATCAACTATTAACGATTTTGATTTTTTAAAAGATTTTTAACGATTTTTATTGATATTTGAAATTGATTTTGAAATCGATTTCAAGCCCTGATATAAAAAAAAAATTATAGTTTTTAATTGAATACTTGATTAAATGAGTAATATTTTAAACTTAAAGCCACATGTACAATAATAATTGCACTTCAAGTAAAATGGTATTTGCTATTAACCTCTTAAGTTACTAAGCTCTTACAAAATACAATTTAAATAAAAAAAAAAAATTAAAAAAAATAGTAATACCTGTAAGTTAATTTTTTATAATAATATAAATATAGTATAACTTTGACATTTTTTAAACACTCAAACGGATTAAAAAAGTTTGGAGTGATCTAACATAAATGTTTTAATACTTAAAACAAACATCATTAATTTTTCACAGAATGATGAAAATATATCGTCGCTTCAAAATGGCCGCTCGAACCGGAGAGTTTTTCGCGTTGCACCAATGGGACTTCATTAGCAAAAATATCCAGGAACTTGACAAAGACATCACATCTTCCGCTGATAGACGTACATTCCCCGTTGACATTAGACAAGTGGTGTGGGATACTTATGTCAAAGATTATGTGTTCGGCATACGGAACTTTGTACTCAAAGACCCACCATCAACAATTCCCCAAGCTTTGAGCAAATTACAAAAGTAATGACGAATTTCTCTTTTGATTAAAAAATAATTGCATTATTTAATTTCCTATACAAAACAAATATAAAAAAATGGTTTTTTTGCAGATTTTATTGGATGCACAGGATGGCACAATGTGTGTTTGTTGGGATGGTTATACACGTTCTCAAATCAAAATGATTGAAATAAGATTTTATTTTTGTATAATATTAAATAAATATGGTTTAGCTATGAGTATTATTATTATATGTTACATGTTATATAAATAATGTGAGTATAATGATAATAAGTAATAATAAGTAATCGAACATTTTATTGTTTAAGAATTATATAATAACTAGTATGAATAATTTTAGTAATAAAAATGATTTTTATCAACCATATCATTACAATATGTAAAACAGAAAAATTTAATATTTACTTATATATATTTAAACACAACATTTATACTACACTTAATAAATGATAATAACTTTTAGGATATTATTAAAAAGACATCAATAATAATAACCAGTCTTTTTGTTTAACATAAAAAATATATAGTAAAATATGCAAATATAAAATCATAAATGCATAGTTATACTATTATATTCATTATATTTTCTATTTTCAAAAAATAACTATGTTTGTAGAATATAAAATAATTCAACGATATGTCATACAAAGCACAACTCTATTTAATTCTATTGGTATTTTAAAATCATACCAGTGAGCGGTATACATATGTTACAAGATCACAGATACACATCATATAGTATAAAAAAAGTTGTATAGATGCTATTGTCTTGTCGTTCAATTAATATTGATCAAAAATAAATCAAATTGTTAATCTTTGGGAAAAAAAAATTTAACAAATTAAATAAAATAATAAACATAATCAATTGATACTATTTTAAAATTTCTATAGATAAAAATGGAACGAAGAACTTAATATAAATACAAATAAATATTACTTAGGAGTTTCATTACGTGAAAATCATACAAAAAGTACCTTCTAGTATAAACATTATTTTACTTAATGTATGACTACAACGAATTTTTACAAACTAATATGTTTCATTCTTTATGTAAGTCTTATCAGTGCTAGGTTTTTTTTTTTTTATCTAGCCAACATTATAGATTTCACGTTTGACCAATCGTGTCAGTAACTGAAAAACAAATATTCAAACATTAAACCAAAATAAAAAAATAAAAACCAAGACTGTGGCTAAACATGTAACATACTGTTATTACTTAGAAAGTTAAAAAAAAGATGTATCGCATTTTTATTTTATAAAATATTTTACAGTAACATTTTACCCAATACTCTTATAGGTCATCACCAATACTTATAGATCATCAATTAGCAAATCATTAATATATATTAAATACTAAAACATAATTTGATTTTAAATAGGTCACATAGTCAACCACAGCTTCAATCTCAATGAATAAGTTTATAATCTTAAATAATAGAAGAAATTATACTTACCAATATTGCAAGTACATTAGAACCCATGAGCATATAAAACACACTTGTCCAACCAAAACCGTTGGATATATAAGCCGCTAGTAAGGGACCTACAGCTGCACCTAAGAATATTAAATCAAAATAATTAATAAAAACTTTTATCTTTGAATAATAAAATATTAATGTCGTATAATTAAAAAAATTAAAAAAAAATTTTATTTACCAATTGATCCAGTACCATCAATAATAGATGTGACAGTAGACAATGCTTTCGCATTTCCTTTTAAAGAACTGTGTGTTCCCAACTCTGCAGATACTGCAGTAGTAATCAGTGCATATGGTCCATTAACTAAACCACCAGCAAGAGCTAACATAGCAATATTTATATACACATTAACTGAAGACAACAAATTGTAGGTGTACAACTGAAATAAAAGCATTGTATGAAATACATTTTGTAAACATTATAAAAATAATAACACTTACTGATGGAATAGCCAAAAACAACATAACTGCACATGTACATGCACTTTTCCCAAACATGTCACTGAATATTCCAGCAGCTATTCCTCCAAAAATACCACCAACATCAAAAAAGGTGGATAAATCTGCACTTTCCGATGGACTATATGTAGCTATACAGAAATTATAGAAGATATATTCAGATATTAAAGCAAATTATGTTTAATTTATAATACAATATTAAAACTTACAAGAATACTTAATATAATTTGGTAACCAATATAGGAAAGTGTAACTGACTAGTTTAGCAAAGAATAAACACATTGAGAATTCAATAACACCCTAAAATAAGAAAGGTTTATTAAATATTAATAACAAATATAATTTAATAGGTTAAATATATATATACACACAGGAATTTTGATAGCACCGATAAAACCAACAGCTTTTTGTTGTGAACCATGGGGTGAAAGAATTGGGCTTCCTTCAGTTTTTTCTTTTACTTCGTCCTAAAATATTAAATAATATAAATGTATTATTTAAATATTTATCATTATTATAAAACCATCACCTATTATAAGCTAGAATTAAATTGAAAAACTAGTAAGTAATATTATCATACAGTAATATATACCTATATTAATGATTAATTGTTTTTAATAGTAATAATTTTAATACATAATTATAATGTTACCAAATATTTTAACTTAAATATAATAATATTAATTAATAGTAATAGTGCAACATAAAATATAAATACATTTAAAGAAATTGCTTGAATTAACATAATCAAAATACATATTTTATTGATCACAATATACAAAATTATTCATAAGGTGCCAACACTGTTTAATTTTAGATTAAGTTTTTAAAAACAGTTAAAGAACATAAACTTAGTAAAAAAGGATTTAATTTTATTAACATAATTCAAAAAAAAAAATAACGTAGACCACACAATACATACTAACAATACTACCAATACTTAAAGACCATGTATATTTTTATTTAATAAACCAATGTACAATAATAAAGATACTAGATTAATTATATATATATATATATGTGTGTGTGTGTGTGTGAGTATAGGATTTTCTATTAGAAAATTAGAAACCACATTTTTTAAGCATTATTTTTTTGCATAAAGTAGTAATTTTAAGAGTTCACTTGGGTTCTAAATAATTTTAATTAATCTAACAAATCATATAAAGGAAATATACATCTATCAAGCAAAACTTGTTACGACTGAGGGAAAATATAGTGGTACAAAAGTAAAAAATGAACATGATATTACCATCTTAATAAATAATTACAAAAATATTCTGTACATCCTTACCACCATATATAATATTTCAAACAATTATTATTTAAAAAGCTTATTATTGTTAAATTGTTATAGTGGTACTAACATAAAAAATGATATACTACATACTATTTTAATTATTTAATACTATATTTAGTAAATCCCTCCACAACAATAATATACAGTGCATTTGTGCGCAAAAATTTAACAAAAATCTCATTACATGAATGAATTTACAAAGAACCACTTACGAGTATTTACAGGCATCTTCAATATTCTGAAAGCAATGGATGTCAAGAAATGTGCAACAGCACACTATTTACACTAAACATCACTGGATAGAATATGAATAATATTTTAACATAAATTTAAATAAAAAAACTTTCTTTACATATATCAATATCATATCACATTTTTAGTTATATTTAATTAAATTATTTTAGCAAATAAAATATACTAAATTACATAGTAAAATAAAATGAAATATATCATTAACTATAATAATAAGATACGAAACAAATCATAATGAGCCATGTATTATACTCAGAACGTTTTCCCAAAAATTCTGCATATTTTATACAATTAAATTACAAGCGTTTTAGTTAAAAAATAATGTAGAAAATAACTTGTAACACTAATTCAAAATTCATTTGAAAAATATTTAGAAACTGTAAAATTGGAAAATTTGAATTGATAATTTGTGAAAACGTACTATTATAATATTAACACTAGTTGTAATTACCTAGAACAATAACTAGTAAATAAATAAATTGAATAGTTATTAAAGCAATGAAAATTTGTTTACCTTGTTAGAAGGTAACAATGACAACTCCTTAGATGATATATCTCCAAGAGGTATAGACACCTCTTGTGGGGAAGTGCTGGGTTTTTTCTAATGAAACAAGCATAATAAAAGCATCAGAATGTTGTAAACATGTATTATTATTAATATATTATTTAGGTTATTCAGATTACATCATGCTGTTTAAACAATAATATAAAAAGCTAAGAATAAACATTTGCCAATATAAATAAAATATTTTTCTGTTGAGTATACTCTATGTACAACTAATAAAAAATTTTTTATTTTATTTTAATAATCTTTTTTATCTCATAAATTAAATAATATCAAATTAAATAGTTCATATATTTTAAAAAGAATATATATATAGATTTGTGCTAATTTTTCACCAGTGCCTCAAACATATACCAAAATATAATAACATATTTTAACTGGTTATGTAAATGTAATAAATCAGTTTGAATTAGTAGTAAATGGATTAGTATATTTATGAAAAAAAATTAAAGAACAGTTACAATTAAGACACACATTACATGCAATATGATGAATCCATGTTTTTAATTCCAAGCAGTCGGAGCCAATAATTGTGTTGGACATTTTTTTGAATTTGATAAATGATTTATTAATTGTCCATTGCTAGTTATAGATCAGTCATTTTTTTATTATTATTAGTAATTTAATTACTAATAACTAAATTTAAACCACTTTTAAATAACCATTTATAAATCAAGATTTGATTGATAATTTTAGTTATCTATTTTAATAGAGAATAATATGAGAATGATAATATAAATATTTAATTATTATATATAACTTTTATATCAAGCTCAATTAATAGAAACTAAACAAGCAGTCACCAGAAAATCACAAGCTCAGTAGTAAACACAATATTCAATACATACGATAAATTATATAGAAATTAAATATGGAATAAAATGATACGTTAATAACTGATTGATATTCAATATCAATCTTAAATTACTGAGAATTGAAATGTAATGAAAAAAATAAATTATTTAAAACTAAATATATGGAATAAGTTCATAATTTTTGTATCTAATAAATAATTGATATGGATGTTTTAAAATAATAATTTAAGAGTTATTTGTTTATATAATTTTTTAAATTAATATTTAATTAAATTATAAGTAAATAAGTTATTAATACAAGATTTTTTCATGAAAATATACTTCATTAATTATAAGACAGATAACCATAATTATGCATGCACTAATTAAAAATAAATATAATTATAATTTATGTTATTTGAGGAAAATCATTAACTAATGTAAATTTAAAAACTTAGATACCTATATAATTATTAACTCTAATTGAATAGAAATTTATCAATTAATCAACAAAAACAAAAACGTGTATCATAAGTCATAACTAAAGCTCGGATATTTATGATTTGGCATATTTTTTTCACATATACAAAATTATATCCTAATATGATATAAATTCGATTCATGAAATCTCGATTACAAATATGCAAACTTATTTTGCATATTTTTGCATATTTGAAATTTTTGAGCATATGAATGCATATATCAATTGTTTCTAGATTAAGTAACATATATATTTTATAAATTATAAGTATAATATTAAAAATTGCCCATAGTATTAAAAATTATTAATCATTATTGTTAATTGTGTCATTTTCAGTCTACAAAAATTTCTTGTTGAATTGTCGAAGGTCCTTCAAATTTGAAAATATCACCAAAACTATTATTGTACAGTGTAATTCTGCTTAACTTATGAAAAATTTAACTTTAATAGATCGAAAACAAATTTATTTTTTTCCATTTACATTAGCTGTTTTTTTGTAATAAAGTAATTTTAAATACACATTCAAAAGAGTATAGACGTTTTTAAATTAATATTAACTATTTTTTTGCATATATTTATTGAAAAAATAAGTATATTTAATACATTTTATGACATATGATTGCATATTTTTAAGAAATTTTGGTCATTAACATCCGAGCTCTAATCATAACTGATTATCCATCACTTTTAAATATTATTATTTTAAAGAGTTACTAATTGGTTTGTGATATGATAAATAAAATACTTTTCATTTATTACAAATACTCATTTACATATGTATAAATAAAGCAAGTGAGCAGTGTTAAGTTCTTTAATTGAATGGTTCTTACTGACTTTGGAAAAAGGTGGATAGATGTTTTAAGCTTAGCATTTAAATAATTTTAATGAATTTTGTTTAAAAAATATATTATTATTACACATTAGGAAATATAACTAAATCAAATGGTTGGATATGTTATCATGCTTTAATAGTTAAATTAAATAAATAATATTTTGATTCTATTAAATGTAAATTATACAGGATTTAAAACATTAGATAAAATAGAGATTAAATACTATTATAATTATGATTGTTAAAAAATATTATCAAAGTTATCAATATATAATCATTCTAAAAATCAGTGGAGAAAAGAGTAAAACATAATTTTCAAAAATAGTTAAAATTATATACTATACTTACATAGGAATTCAAATTACTATAAAACTATTAATACTATAAGTTTATGTTTATCAATGGACTTTAATTTTTTATAATTATTCAAATTTTCTTAACACTTGAAAAATATACTGTTACGTTCTTTAAGTTGCTACATAGTTTTATTTAATTAGATAATTTTCATCTGTACTGCATATCATATAGAATTACTATGAATAATTAATTTAATAACTATCAGTTAATTCACTGTTTACTTGTATTATTACTTATTACTTATTATTAATATTATTCTTTAATGCGAACATTAAGTCAGGGGTTCTCAACCGGTGTGCCGCGGCACATTACTTTGCGATGAAAAATGTCTGATATTTGAAAATACCGATTGATAAAACAGTTTAATGTCAATTAATTCTGTAGAAATAGATGTGGGTAAACTGTATAGTGTACACTACATGGTTAAAACCATACTGGATTTGGCGTAGCCAAAGTTCTTGTTGTGGTCCAGTGCATAAGTATGCCACGAAAAATTATGATGTATAAGAGTGTGCCGTGAACAAAAAAAAGTTGAGAACCCCTGCATTAAGTAATAATATTTTATTCTATTTACTTAAAATATATATATTGAGTTAAAATAATGAAGAACAATAAACCTGATTGATAATTTTTAAAAATTATTTAACATACATTATGATGAGGTTTATATTATAGATTACATTAAAAAACTAAATAAGTTCTTATCGTCAGTATCATTGGAGATTTCAATTAAAATAAACCAAATTGATTATTTATTTGACAATACAACAAAAATATTTTCAAGTTAAGTTAGTCTATTTTATTAATGTTGGTGTAATAAATAAATAAAATAATAAATAATAAAAATTAAATAAAGTTAATACACAGTTGTTTAAAAAATAAAAATGATTAATTTACTAAGGAAAATACACAATAAGTCATCATTTTTTTCAATTATACTCTAGATAATTTATGTCTAGTGCTCATTGAATACTTGGATCCAGATTAATAACATAATGTATTAGTGATATTGTGTGTTAACATTTATATTCAGTTATATAAAATCATATAATGATAAGTAATAAAATTAACACTAACACTAATGCACTGTCAAATTTAATGAAATAATCAGTTATATAAATTAATAAAAGTTGGTAAAATCAAAAATAATAAGTGTATTTTGAGTTGGGTTACATAAAATGTACAAAAAATGAGTAGCAAGTGTTATAATATTTTATAAAAAAAAATTTTTTTTGGTTTCTTTAGAAAAAAATATTAAAAAATATTATTATTATTATAAATTATAATGATAACCACATTTTTAAATTCTAATATTAACTTTTATATCTATGCAGAATATGGTATATAATAGTAAAATTTTTAATGTGAATTTATGATAAAAATGTTTGAAATTACTATCAATTTTATAAATTTTTTTAAAATATTCTGAAGTAACTTTCGATTTGCACACATTTTTTTAATAAAAAAATTAACAAGATGAAATAAAATGACAAACACATTAGCCGAATATGATTAAATATTAAGCAATCAGCTGAAAAAGCTTAAGCATAAAATATAAACATTAATCACAATTCACAATACCTTGCTTATTCTTGGAAAAAGTTGTTGATAGAAATTGACGACACGAACAAATTGACGACAAACAATCAAGGAGTAAATACCAGCTAATTAATTCAAATAAAAATTTAAGTAAGAAGCCTCAACTATAATAAATATGAAACAAATTATTAGTAACACTATACTGTAAATGCCTTTTATAATTACGTAATAAATTTTACAAAATATATTTTTAATATCATAATCATCTTTTAAACCATGTACAAAATCTTTATTTATAAAAAACTTTCTATATTATTATTATAAAGGTAAATAGTTAATAATTAATTAAAAATTTCACATAATAAAGGATAAAAGAGGATACAAATAAAATAATAATTATTATTAAATACAAAAAGTAAAATATACAATTTATAAAATAAGAAAAATATTATTTAAATTAAATATAGTGTAAAAAATTGAAAATTATTTAATACTGATTCTATTTTTAAACAATTTAATTTGAAATTATTAAAACTACTTACTCAACATTTATTTAGATGAAAAATTACATCATTATTAAATAAAAAATTAAATTATTTTTACTTATGTTATATGTCCTTATAACAATAAAGAATAATATTTTAGAAATAATCATAAATTGAAATAAATAATTAAACATATAAAATAAACTAATAATAATAACAATAACAATAAAACTATACACTTGATCATTATACTGTTTAAAAAAATTATGTTACTTTCAATTAATTAATTGAAAATAGTATCAAATTCTTCTTATAAAAATTACTGAAGGAATGAAGTGGAGAAAATAGATTACTACCAATGTAATTATGATTATTTTTACAAATCTGACCTAACCAGAGAAGTTTTTAGTAAGAACACAAATATATTTGAATCCCCAAATATGTATCTCATTGAGTATACATAATCATTGATTAATTAATTTTGACAGCAGAAACATAATATAATAACATTTTCAACCAAGTTTAAATCCTTAATTTAAAATTGTATTATTGTATTGATGGAAAAGTGTACTTAAACACACTAAGTGCTAAACTTCAAGTATTTATAAGAAAATAAGTTATTAAAAAAATAAAAATAAACTTGTTTCTTAAAAAAAGTATAAATATAGATAGACAATATAATAAAATGATTATTTTAAAATTAATTGCATTATATATTTTTAGCATAAAAACTTATCTTAGTTCAGCTAATGAGTCAAAGATTTGCTTTATATGTTTAGATTATACATCTATATTATATATTACATTCTTGAATCCAATAATAAATATTTATCTTAAATTAAAAATTAATTCAATAAGAAACAAATGTTTAAATTAAAATTTTTCTTTTAATTAAGTTCTTAATTGCAGAATTTATTTTATATATCTCTTTTAAAAACAAATATAATTATTCATAAAATGTTTGACATTTATCCATAATTAAAGTTATTTTTAACTTGGAGTGTTCCAATAACACTAAATATTTAAAATTTAATAAAAAACAAAAAATTCTTATCCATGACTTTAAATTTATATATAAATATATTTTATAAGCCAGTTTTAGGATAAAAGATAAAAAAATTTAATTAATTAGCTTAAGATACTACCACCAAAATAAAATGCCATATATCATTATGAAATATGAATTTGATTAATGATTAATTGATAACAATTTTAATTTATTTTAATTTATAAAATATTTAAAAATAATTTTTCCTATGATTACTTTGATATTATATTATACAAATTAAACAATTTTAATAGTTTTTACATAAGTATATACAGTAAAAGTAATTTAATTTTCATGTGAGTTCTATTAAAGCAATGTTAGGCAATTTAATATAGAGCTATTATACACGCTATACAATATATATATAAACTATAATGCATCATGCACTTAAATAATGTAAGTTAAAAAATAAATAATAATAAAAAACCATCAAATTTAAAACTCAAGTAACCCATTATCATAGCACAAACCCAAAATAATAGCATGGAACAAACATACCTCTTCTGAGCTGCCCTTCAAAATTTCATTTTCTTCTTGTACATTATAATCATAACGAGGAGATTGTCTTCGTATTCCATTTTTCATTACGGTCTAACCATGTTTTAAGACAAAAACAAAGCCCAAAAAAAGCATTAAGAACTGACAGTTTTTAAGATACAAAAATTAAAGTGTTAAATTGCATTGTAATTATTATAAAATTAAATAAATTTTTTTTTATAATATTCACAGTACATAATGAAGTGAGCAGTTTTAAAATTAATGCCAGGTGCTACTTTTGTGATTAAGTATTATTTAAAGTGTTATGTGTGCAAGAATTAATATACTTAACAAGACTATATAATTAAAACTAAATTTGATGAAAACTGTTACAAAATTTATTTTGTATATAATACACAAAATATATTATAATTATTTTATATATTATGTATTCATATAATGATATTGCCATAGTAATTTCTCTATGAAATTATTTACAGTAATTACAAAAAATTTTTAACTTACTGCTAAAGTAGGAACTTTATGTATTGTACAAATATAGGTATTTATGTTAAAATAATTTAAATTTTAAATTTCAATAGTATTAATAGTAGTATAAAACATTAAAAACAATTTAATTATCAATTTTAGGATAAAATATTTTTACATTAGATGATGAAATTATCATGACAATCTCAAAAATAAAAATAATATCATTATTAAAAAATAATATGTTAAAATATATAGTCTTTTAGTATCAAAAAATGTCTAAGTATAACCAAAATATTCTTTTCAGGATTTCTAACCAAGATATAAGCACAACAAGAGCAAAAGTGTAAGCGAAAATAATTTTTACTGGCCAAATAACAATAAAAATACCATACTTTAGTAAGTAGATTTAAAAGAGGAGAAACTGTATTATATATAACTTAATAATAAGATTCAATCATTTTTAACTTCAAATAATATTACTGTTTTAAATATATATTTATTTATTTATACAGATTTCCATAGATTTGTAGACATTAAATATAATAATATATTGTATTTGTAATAATTATGAAAAAACGGAAAAGATATTAAAATAACTAATATAGTAAAAATAAAATAAAAATTGTATTAATAAACTTATAAAATATTTTAGAACAAAATACTAACCTTACGACCATTTTGAGTATTTTGATTTAAATGTGAGCCACCATTTACATCAGATGGGTGAACAACAAGGAACAAAAAGTTCAGGATTCCAGATACAATTATAAATATTCCAGGAACAATAAATGATAATCCCCAATTAGTTTCAACGAATGATCCAGCAAGTAAAGTACCAATGATATTTCCAATCGATGTATGAGAATTCCAAATTCCAAATATAAATCCTTTAATATATTTAAAAATTAATTTATGTACAACAAATTTTAATTAACTTTTATTAATTTTACCTCGATTTCCTTTGCCAAACCAATTACCCATTGCAGTCACAACACCTGGCCATCCAGTAGTTTGGCAGATACCACCAAATATCTAAAAAATAATTTTAATGCTATATTATATTATAATATTAATATTATTCCAATTCATTAAATATATTTTTTAAGCATTATAACAAATTAAAGAATAAAAAAAAAAAAAAACATTTCACACAATACAAGTTGCTAGGAATTCTAGGTATTTATAAGACTGAAATTAAATATTATAATTATGATTTTTATTATTTGATTTAACAAAATTAAGTATTTATATTGACATTATATAAATAAAAATAATCTACATAATAAATTTTGATTAACTCATGTAACATGAATATTTTAAACATTTGTACAAATTTTGTTAACAAACTGATGCAATAAAATTTCAATAAAAAAAATAATGTTAAATATATTTATATTAAGTTATCATAGAATTGAATAACTTGACTAAACAATGAGACAAGCGCCATTTTTTCAATAACGGTTTTATTAGTGGAACATCAAGATATATGTGTCATTAAATGGATACAAAAATATAAAATGTATTTAATAATTTTCAAAAATAGCTTGGGGCTCGATTTAGGTAAAATATTATTAAGTCAGATAAGCGGAACAAAACTATATTTAATAATATTTTAAGAAGGTAACAAAGTGATATATATTACATTATTATAAATATAATATTATTTTCAAAAAGGTAAATATATGGTTTCGAGAAACTGAGTGAAACAACGAGCTACAAGCAAAGATTAACCACGTCACACATAAAACCGTAGATAATACTTTAAATAGCTCTCCTGTAAAATTTGTAAAGTGGCGCTTGTCTTGTTGTTTGGCCAAGATATTCAATTAAGCATTAAAATATATAATGCATAAATAGGAACATATTACATAATATAGTATAATTGAGAATTATTAATTTAGCAAAAGGTATTCAACCTTTATAGGTAATCACAACAAACAAATTGTAATTTAATATTATTTTTTAAATATTATACTACCTAAAATTTATATAAATTATAGTTTTCATAGTAACTCATGGAGCAATTTATTAACTATTTTTCAATAAAAGAATGAAGCTGTTAATTTTTACTTTTTACACAAGAGTTGATACTTGTATATTTTGTATACACTTTGTATAATGAACACTATACATACATAAAAAAACAGTATTTTACACTCTTCAAATTAAATGATTCATAATTTTGAATATAATACATAAATAAATATGATGTACCTGATACACCACATATAAATGTTATACATAAACATTAATTTATTAATAAAAATACTACTGAATAATATTTGTACAAAAATAATAATTAATTCAATAAAATACCTGGACAGCAATAAAATAAGTAATGGAATGTATATTGTAAATACGGGCGAATCCAAACATTGAGCAAGCTGTACCAGATAAAATCATTCCAAGAGTAAGAAAAATCCGTATGTTGACATGCTCCGCAATTAATCCACTAAAAAAAATAATATTGTAGTTAAAATACAATTTTTAATTTAACCAAGTATTAAAATAAAACAAAAATAAACAATAGAAAATTTTAATAAAAAAAATAAAATAGTTAAAATATAATTAATTATAATGATAAAACAAATATTTTACCTAAAAAACATTGCTATTGCATAAGCAAAAAGAAATGCTGAATCCAATGTTCCAAATAAAGCATTATGATTTTCCGCATCTGTAAATTTGTAGTTTTCTAAATTATCCATTCAAGTCAAATGACAACCTAATTTCCTTATTTGCTTATTTGTGTTTAATAACTATAAAAAGTAGTTATAATATACCGAAAATTAAATTTTTACTTATTTTGAAAAATATAAATCTAGTTTAAAACAAATTAAAATATATTTATTATTATGAAAAAATACTAAAGTAATAATCATGAAAAATTGATTTATACATTAACTTTTAAAAACTGTTTATTAACTATCATATAACTTACTAAATGGTGCCCAATTACACCAATCAGGGTCCGTATGATTAACTGTAGAACAATTTTGGTACAACACCGTTTTGACAACACTAATAGGTTTTCGAGATGCGTGGTAAGCTGCATAAGTGATGAATGTTAAAATAAGAACACTATATTTGTACCTAAAACACATTGAATCATAATTATTAATATAACACTACTAACCTAAGCTAACCTAATACAACAAATACCATAAATTAGTTAAATAATACAAACAAAAGATAAATTACTGGAAATAATGAAAGCAATATAGGTAAATATATATATATTTTTTTTAATAATCTACAGATTTAATATAATAAATACAAGATAAGTTTGGTGATAATTTAAGTAAAATTAAATCATTTTTAATTCATTTTGAATTTTGTGATCCTAGGATTAATTTATAACTAAAAAAAATTAAATTTAAGTTATTTCTTTGACTTTATTAAATAATCAATTATTACTTTTAAATACAAAGAAATTATATAATAGAAATAGGCACTAAATCAATTTCTTGAAACATGTTGACTTTTCATGACCTTCATTAGCTGTATTTATTTTTGATATGCCTATTAAATATATACACACATGTACATAAAAAACGATACATACATAAAACGAAAATAATTATTTTTTTTTTTTTTGATCAATTTATTTTTGAAATTAAAGATATTTGATTATTTGAATTATAATATACAGTAAGTATTTAATATCCCAATAATCCATTATTTTAACAAAAAGATCAATATTTAATACAAACATTTAATTATATTATTTCAATACAATTTAATATTTATTATTTTGGTAAAAGTAATATTAAGTTTTATTTTTTATTTTTCAGTAGAAATATACATTTATAATTAAAAAAATATATTTTTTTAAATTAAATATCATTAAAATGGTACCATTATTAAATTTAATTATGTTAAGTAAATAAGTAATATGCAAAATAATGAACAATGATTTATTGACATATAATTTATAACTTTACTTTGTTTTATTTATCTAAACTTCATATATTTATAACTAATTATCTATAAAGCCTTACAAACATTTTGAGAGTAACTCATTCAAAACATTATGTAATAAATTAAATACTATGTTAGTTATTTACCTATTTAATAAAATATTATACATAGGCTTCACAATAATGTACAAATATACTTAACCAAAATTACATTTGTATATTATGTTTGTTATAAAGTATGAACTATATTAAAAATAATATATAAATAAGTAATTTATACAAAGAAGTAAATAAAGAAAGCTGGATTATTATAATATTTTTAATGTATGACCCGGTTTTGAATTAAAAATTCAACATCAGGTACATAAAAATTCAATAAAATTTCAACATTTAAACTAGGCCTTTCTTAATTTATTAATATTAATTCATTTCTATACATAAACTATTTATTTATATATTAATTTATGAGTATTAACAATTTACTTATTTTAATTTTATTTTTTAATATTTTATAATTCATTATAAATATATTATATATTAAAATATGCTAGGTAGTGCTTATACAAAATAATACTTATAAATAATTAAAATGTGTAATAAATATTTATATAAATAGAAAAAATTAACTATATCTACATATATTTAATGATAAAACCACTTCAATTTACATCAAATAATCAACATACAGCTAGATATTAAACATTTTTTACTATCAAAGAATTATTATGATTAAAAAGTACTTGAAAAATATTTAAATATATAATACCTAAAAGAAATATAATCTTTTAATATTTATAAATGTAGTATAATTGTAAACTTGAAATTTAACTGATAAATAAATGTAATAATTATTTAAAAGTAATAATGTTGATAATAATTTAAACAACTTTAAGTACAATAATTTAAAACACAAAGTACTAATATACTATATTATTTGTGTTACACTTAATTATTACAACTATTTGGTATTTAAAAATTCCCATTTTATAAAAAAAAAAGATTATTGTGATGTTATTGGCATAAAAAGTGAATGTAATGTACATCCTAGATTTTATCTTAAGGTCATATAATGTTTTCACTGAATGAAATATCTTGAAGTATTTAAAATATTAACACATTTAAAAGGATAACCAGATATCTTATTATAAACATATAGTTGATTAGGAATTTATTTTAATATGCAGAGTGAATATTTCATAATTTATATACCTACCAAGATAAGTAATTGCCAAATAAAAAATAATCTAATTTAACTAATGCGTAATATACATAATACATTAATGAGATAAGAATTTAAAAAGAAATAATATATTTGATTCATTATAATTCATATGATTTGTAATTTTAATTCATGAATATATTGTTTATTATAAGTGACTTTTAGTTATTTTAAAAATAAACACATTTATTTAATTATTTATTTGGTAGAACAAACTATATTAAATATTATAATAAATATAACTAATTATTTGTTAAAAAAAAAAAAAAAAAAAGTTTTGAAAAAATCATACTTAATTGATAATACAGATGAAATAGAAGATAAAATAATCTATCACAAGATAATCATTTTAAATTATCAAAAAACAATAGTTATGCACAATTTAAGTATAATTAGTAATTACATTAGGATCTTTCTAAAATTATTATGTAGCATCTTTTATTGTTATAGATTTTATATCAATAAGTTAAGAAATGAAGAAACAGTTATAAAAATAATAATAATAACAACAACAACAATAATAATACAGTCGAGTCACGATAACTTGAACCTCAATAACTCGAAAAACTTGACAGTTCGAATTGTGTTTTATTCCCCTAGAAAATTCTTCCACTATAAATTAGTTAGATATCTCGAATAATACATATCTCGAAGTGAATTTTTATCCCCCTTCAACTTCGAGTAATCGCGACTTGACTGTAATAATAATAATATGAACTGTAAGTAAATTATAAGTTATCTTACTTAGAAGTTCAATCGCTATTAAAAATAAAACATTATAAAACTCATCATATCTGAATTAATAATCATTAACCTTTAAATTAAATTCTATATATAAAGTAATAATTATTTAGGAAAAACTTTTATATTTAGGTATTTTTTAATTTTAAATTTAAAAAAAAAAAATGTTCTACATACTCTTAATTCTTTCCAGCATAGTTATCTAGTTAGTTTTGTTTAAATCAAAGTTTAATTAAATTAAGAACCATAATGTAAAATGTATAATTTATTTCATATTATCATCATAATATCTAATTTATTAAAAAAATATTATTATATTATCTAATAATCACAGCAAAAATACTTTGAAAAACATATATTTACAAAAAATAATATTTTCAGCTATAGCAGTAAGTATTATCTTTAAAGGACATAATCCTTATTTTCTACTTACACAAACTTATAGCCCATATTGATACAACAAATAAAATAAAAATAAATAGATAAATTGGTAACTAAAATTTTTTGGTTTTATAATTAATATTTGCTTTAAATATAAGTAGGTACCTAAAAAGTAATTAGTATGGAATCAGTAAAAAATTATATATTTTAAATTTGTGTGAAATTCCTCCTTTATAAATTAGTCCAAACAAAAGTTCAAACTTACTTTAAGGCAGGGATAGATTTTTATTTACCTCCCTCCCTTAAACAAGCTTCAAATCCATCCCTGTTTTATGGTAAACATTTAACAAAAAAAATATATATAACCAAAAATATAATTTTTTATAAACATTACAATTCATCCGTATAGAAGATACAACAGGTACTTTCTTTATCGTCATTAGCTTATTGATAGGAAAACAAATACTTCCTATAGCTGGTCAAATTCAAAGAATCAAAAAAAAAACTATTATACATATTTTTAAATATTTAGCCATTAACATATTATGTAAATTATCTTGGTACAATAATTTTTAACCAAACCTTAGAGCCATAAGATTGGTAATTATTTAGGATCAATAAAATATAATCACAGTTAATATGCACAGTATAAAATTAACAGTTCCATAAAAAAAAAATGTAAATGTATATATATATCAAGCTGATAATGGTTTCAATTACATATAACAGAAACCTATGATATAATAGCAATTATTGATTTGATTCACAATATGGTCATAAGAAAATAGGTAGTCAATTATAAAGTTTATAGTTATCAACCAAATTTTGTACTAAAATTATTTTATACACAGTAATTGTAGTTAATTAGTTTCCTAATATTTAAATGCATGTCAATATAATACTATTCATTATTATCTAAATAAATATATAAAATAAGTAGACATTTAAACATTCATTGACTTTGAAAAAAAAAGGTGTAAATAATTATAACTATTAAGATTAAATATGTCAACTCATTATAAAATTAATATGTTGATTACATAATTATTTATTGTTATTATTATAATTAATGTCCATTATAAATAGTTATTATTTATTTATATAGTATACACTTATACAATTATAAATAATAAAGGCAAAGATTTAAGATTAATAAAATATACATTACAGACAATATAAACAATTCTATAATTATATAATAATTAAAAATTAATATACTAAAGCTAAGTTTCGAAAAAAAAGCAAGTTATAATCATTACATACTAAAATACTTAATAAAATAACAAGAATAGATTTATTGTTTTAATATTTTAAAACTTTTATAAACTTATTTTAATAAGCTTGATCATATTCTAGTTGAATTTTGTTTTCAATTCTTCATGTATAACTAATTAATTAATTAGATGATAGAACTTAAATTATAACCTAAGATTCTTACAAATAATTACCAATTAAGAATCTATAGTTAATGTATTAAGAACTTATTTGATTTAATTTCCATATAAATTATTCGATTAGAAAAACTACAATATATTTAAAGATATTATATATACCTATATAAAATTTAAAGTTATATATATATATATATATTTAAAAGGCCATTTAAAACATTTTGCAATAATAACTGACCAAAAACAAGCTTTTCAAAATTATTATTTTTAATACTATACTCTTATAATAATAATCAAATGGCATTATGTTTAACTTCATGTATTTACAGTCTAATTATAGCTGCCTAAACTTTGTTCACAACCAAAGTAATATAAATGAACTAGGTTAAACAAGGTTAATATTCCTATATAGTAAAATGTAGGTAGGTATACTCACAAATTAGTGCGATTGATGTTGTGGTTTGAGGGAAACTTGTCAAACAGTTTTTGTAGAATCTGTATGCCATAAGGGACGGAGTTGGTTGTTGACGACATGACAGTAGGCATTAATGGACGAACGGTTAGGTGAGGAAATTATCAAGAGAAGGAAAGAAGTTGTTAACGTTACTTTTCGTCAAACTAAATCGTCCTAGACACACGATTATAATGGTAAAATATGGTAGTAGGAACTGAGTTGAGCAGTTGATGTATACAATAAGAATGGTTGCATATTGAAAATATGGATTTGATCCGCAATGTAGTGGTTGAATACCTACTGGTAGGTATGAATTAAAAAAAAAGTATCTAATAAGCGACGAGTGAATAGAATGGATGAAATACGATCAGTGTACAACAGGTGTTGAGAGACGAATTGAAACAAATGGAAGCGATTCGCTGCACCGGTTAAGATACAATAAGGTTACAGAATCGGAGATAAAAAGGGAAAAACGGACTAAAGACTAGTGGACTTTGGTGAAAATAAAAATTAAAAACGAATGGGGAAAAAAAACGAAAAAAAGGGTTAAAAAAAAAAAAAAAAAAGAAATAACTACTGGAAACCGCTCGACGCACTGTTTACTCTGTCATTGCCGTCATGTGAGAACCACGTCGAGTTATCAGCGTTGATATCAGTAAAACGGCGGCGGAGTCACGGCAGTTGTACCGGTACGTGAGGTAGAAAGGGTATAGCCGGTAGTGGTGTCGGCGGCGGCCGATTGGTGTTTGGTACTAATGGTCGCCGACTACACGCACACACGTGGAGACTGCCGAAAGAGAAAAAAAAAAAGAGTAAAAAATTGAAAAAAAATAAATAAAAACTCGAAATCCAAAATGTAGGCCCGTGAAACGCAAGTATCGTAACATATTTAAAAAAAAAAATAAAAAAATAATAATAAAAAATAAAATTGAAAAAACAAACGAATATTTTCATAAGCCCGTCACACACACGGTGCCAAGGAGCGGTGTTGTATTGTATAATATTATGAGGTACAACGTACAAGAATAGCAAATAATATACGTGTATATCGGTGTAATCCTCTCGCTACACACCGATCCTGCACAGATAACGTTAAGTTTTTTTATATAATCATCTAACGTATATTCGGCAATCAAAAGTGAACGGAACAATAATGTAATCGAAAACAAAAACAAAACCGTTTTCGATACGGATCGCGTTGTTGCGATCGCGTACAACAACAATATTATTACAGCGAAGTAACGGTTTTTCTTAAAAAGAGAGCGATGAAAAAAAAGTAAATTAAAAAATTAAAAACTAAAAAAAAAAAATATAAAAAAAATAAAAAAAGCTTACCGGACTTTTTCGGGGATCGCAGCAACCGGGTAAACGCGTACGAGTTGTAACAGTTGTTGCTGCGCGGTGACCGATGCTGCTGGTACTGGTGCTGGTGCTGCTGCGACTGACGGCTGTCGACTGGCTGCGGAAACTGTCGGACCGACGGCGGTGAACCAGCGCCAATTGGAAAATGATACTGAACGCGTGTCGCTTCTTTTTTAATTTCTCATTTTTTTTTTTCCCCCTCTTACGCGCCGCCGCTTTCCCCTGCCCGTCCGTCGTCTTTCGAATCGCGCGCGCGCGCGAGCTGTCCGCGCACCGAACGACGGCGACGACGCGTGAGACGGCCGCGCGTGAACCGCTCGCGTATTATTCCTACGCAGCAGTACACGGTACCATATCGCGCATAGGATTTCGATCACTATTTTTATTATTCCTGTTGCCCACCGCCCGATGTCCGTCCCGATGCGGGACACGGTCCCGACTCTCGGGTACGCGTAATGTTTCGTAAAACATGCTTATGGAACCATACAGTGTTAATAATTGAAGGACTCTGTGCAACGACCAGACAGCTCCGTTTTATCATTTTTTCCAGGAAGCACATATTTAACGTTCAATGTGTACACTAGCGAAGAATAATAAAAAGAAAAATTATTTCCATACGCTTAAAATAGTGATCAAAACCGTGGTACCCTTGATGAAGTTGAACACTTTTTACACTTTTACCCGCGAATAAGAAATTTTTCCTGGAGTTGTCTTGTTTGTTGCTCGGCGATAGTAAATCCTTCTTTTTATATATATATATATATATATATATAATGTAAAAAAATTACAAAGAAATAGTTTTTTTTAACTGAGTTGATAATAATTATTATTATGTACTTATACTATCAAACAGCATACTTGAGTTTTAAGAAAAAAAAAAAAACTAAACCCATAGCAAAACCAAGACACCCCCGCAGTTGTCTGGTTTTTCGTCGGAAAACTAAAAACCATTATAATTTCTAAACGAACAGTCGGATTTATCTCGTTCTTGCACAGAAAATTTGATAATAAAAATTTTTTCTGTTTGAAATTATGATAAAACGAATTTCGCTAAAAATGGAGCTGTCTGGTTATTGCACAGAGCCCTTCAATTACTTGTTCACGTCATGGATCATCCATTATTATTACATTTCGTTCTAATCCTTAACAAAATTCAATATTTTCAAATGGAAAATCGACAACAGTTGAGTAATCCAATCTAAGTCTTGTATGCAGTTTCAAATCAGCTTACCCTTTAGCGAAGGATTTTGATTTTTATATCGTATAAAATGTGTGTATAAGACAACGTATATTACATAAATGTCCTATACTATACACACACAATTATACAACATTTAGTACACGTACAATACTACGAGTAGGTGCAGTGACGTGTCATACATGTATGCGATGTGTGCAAATGCCATGGGCCCTTGGCTAGGGGGGACATAATTACTCAAATCGCAGAAAAAAAAATTAAATTAATATAATTATGAAAAAGTAACAAGATTGTTCACATAGTTCTCAATTTGCTATCAATATATAATTATTATAAATATTGTATCAAATTTGATTCTTTACTTCTGCAAAATAAATAACAATTTAGGTTGACTAACATTTTTTTATAAAAATCTGTTTTCAGTGGTTTTTCGTTATCGCTTCGTCGCTTATCGGCCTTTTTCCACACAGACGGCTATATTATTATGTATAAAGTATACATATAATGTAAACCTCTACGAATTTATACGACTAAAATATCGCTTTGTATTTACTTAGTAAGGTGTATTATTTTATGACTCTCGTAGTCTCGTGTGTCATTGTTCAGAGTCAATATAAAAGAATACACGGTAAACTAAATTAAATATTTTATTTTATAAATTATAGTGATAATGGCTGTACAGTTTACAAATGGTGCTGCGAAACGCAAAATAAAAAAAAAGAGAAAGATCTATTAAACGGATAACGAAAATTGATACATTTTTCAAACAACACCATGAAGAAACAAAAAAAGAGTGAGCTATTGATGAACCAGATATTTTGTCAAATAAAATTAATGCTGTTAGTAATTCCATAATCCGATATTATTATATGTAATACATGCAGTGGCGCACGCAGGGGGTGGGGGGTTAAGGGGTTTTACCCCCCTCCCCGAAATTTTCTCCGATGTCTAGATTCAAATTTACAAATTTTACAAGTTTGAAATATGAAGAGCTAGTATTGAATATCTAGTATCATTGATTATAGAATAGTCTATTCTATTATCAATGCTATTATTTAAGTAAAAATATATTAAGGATTAGCATAATTTTGTTAATTGTAAAATGTATTATATTTTTACCTTGACCCCCCCCCCCGAAAAAAAATCCTGTGTGCGCCACTGAATATATGTAATGTATTAAAAGTTCTTCAGTCAACAGTAATTTTTTTTACTTCAGCAGAAAGAACAATTTAAAATCAATATATTTTATTTAACATTGGATAATTCAATAATACCATTAAACAAACGTTTTATTAGTTTAAATGATATTAATTCCGATTTATCTATTGGTCTTGCTGGTCAAATTTTGTCGTTTAGATTTTGTTTTAAAGAAGAAATTACAAAACGAACATCGGTAAGAGCAATTACTGAATTACTGGTTATAGAGAACTACACATCAACAATAACATTTTCTGAAATATGTACAGCGTATGATATTTTTTAACATTCCACGTAACAGTTACTACAACGGAACATTCATTTTTAAAATTAAAATTAATAAAAAAATATTTACGGAGCACAATGCGTAAAGAAAATTAAGTGGACTTGGAATTCTATCTATTGAAAACGATCGAGCACATTAATTAAATTTAAAAAAAAAAATTAATTATTTTACTGAAAAAAAAAGAACGCAAACGAAATTTCGATCGAACTATTATTATTATTGTATGTAATTCCATCTTATTTTATACATAATTTAAATTTCAATAAAAAAGGATAGTATCTAGATTTTTATAAGATTTTATTATTTTAGAATAAAAATACTTCAAATTTGAACTTATGTAACTATAATTATAATATTTTGAATTAAAATATGAAGGGACCCTTTTTTATTATTGCACATGGGCCCATATTTGGGATGAACTATCACTGAGTAAGAGTAATACGGTATGATACAGAAAAATAATGAAATACCCTATTCTTACATCACTATGTATACCAAACGATTAAAGGCTATAATGTTACGGACAAGTTTACTAGGGAGTAACCGAATTGGTTCCCATCTGTTTTCAGGTGGAATAGTTACAATTTTAGTTTTTAATAATTGATAGGTTGTACAAACATATTTAGTATAAATAGAAATTAAATAGTATAAAATATAAATGTAATATAAATGTAATATAAATTTATTTTCGCATAAGCATTGATCGTATTTTAATTAATATTTTTTTATAATTGTTCGTTATTATATTGTTTGAAAGGAAACTAAGTTGTTGATTATTGACAATTACAAGTTCAGATTCCAAAATAATCTTGCAGAGGATAACATGCAGAGGTGGATATTTATAAAATGAAAATGTAAAGCTTACGTGAAATTGAATGGAGGTTAAAGTAGAACTGTAACACTTATGTTATTGTTGAAAGGTATTATAAGGGATAAAACATTTTGTGAAGGCCCGAGACTCCTTGCTCAATACCTAAAACCGGTATTGAATGTTGCCTTAAGTACTTTTAACTATATTTACGATTTAACTTTACCTCCGTGAGGTTATAGTATACATTATTTCACCTTATTGGATTTAACAACAGATGTATGTCCCGTTCAAGCAGACTTCGAAGCTGGGTTAAACACGAGAAGAATTAGTCATTCGTCAATAATTGGTAAAGAACAATCATCCTTTTCGGGTCTTTCAGTACCCTCATCTTCGTACATTGACAAATTTCGGTACCAATATATACTATATTTTCTTATCATTTTTCATTATAGCGATTAAAAATATTATACAAAGTAGATGCAACGTGTTGCTTATTTTGATTTACTAACTAATGTGTAAACCAATTATTACGTAGTATATTTAAAACTTTATTTATAATTAGCCAATAAGATATTCTATTCATTTGGCACCTTTTTATGAATGGTATAATTTTATGGATGCTGTTTTTGATTATATCATCGCTTAAATCATCACATTTCATACGTACAAGTATCGTACTTTAAATACAAAAATATAGATATTTATATTATATTTAACAATATATTTCATTTTAAATAAAATAATATTCTAGTTAGAAAGAATTTGGAAAATATTAATATTTGATTTCAAATCGTGTAATTTTTCTGGTAAAATCTACCAGTTAGGAGTTTCTCGGTATACATTTTTAACTGTTATTATTATTCCATATATTTTGGTTCTCAATAATGTTTTACATTTTTGGCGGTTAGTCATTTATTGAATAACACAATTTATATATTTTTAGTTAATATAATTTCATTTAGAGTTTTAATCGCTTATCCATCGCATTCTGAATTTCATATTTTCCCTCGTAGATTCCCAAAGAATTATATTTTATTTTTAAATTTATTTTTATGTACATAGTTTATTCGAGTATATTGAGTATAAACATAGTTATTCACAATTTAAACTCCAATAATCTCTTAACCTTATATACACCAGCCGCCGCTTGATTTCGAATGATTTTTATGTTCAATTTACTCACAAAAAAAAAAATTAAATAAAAACTGTGTACTATTATAATAAACTATTGTGTGCATACTATATCGTAGATACAAATTTTGTATTAATAATATAATCATACAATTATTAATAAATAGTTATATAAATAATTATGATAATTATGAGGGAAGTATAAGAACAGTGTGAAACATCAATATTATATATCAATCGGTTTCAAATGAGGTTTCACGTAAAAAAAAAAATCACTCCAATCTTAAAGTATAAAAGTACAACAGTTTGATGATCCTGTATCGTGTCAGTCGAAAAATAATTTATATACGATGACCCTTACAAGTGCCCAATGAAAGTACACGCGAACATGTATTTTTCGTTAAAATGTCGTTGGTGTCCTCTTAAAAATCGGCGGAGCATACTTTCCATAACACACGTATACCTACATACCTATATTATGATATAATAACATAATTCAAAACTCGGACCGTATGTACACTAATTGCGATACGCAT